ACTCCAAGAATGTTAATACTTATAATTTACTTATCAATAAGTTTTAGCAGGTGGGGTTTTGAAAATGTTTCTGACTCACACAAGAGGATTTATCAATAGGAAAATTCAATAATTCACATCTTGGGAATCGTGTCTACAAAACAAAGCGAGCAATGATCATCATAGGAATAGTGAACATTTTTATTTAAATCTTTGGTGTTACAGTATGATTCATGAAACCATTACAAACAAACTAATAGTCCAGAATTTGGAAATAATTTGATTAACCAATAAAAAGAAATAATACTTATCAAATAACACAGACATGAGAAATGGACCATTTAATTGATCAAGAATAGCATGTAAATACCTTAATATGGAAGACATAGAAAAGAAGTGCTATTCGATTGATCAACATTAAAATTTTAACAATTAAATAACAAAGACACGAAAAAGGTACAATATTTGAAACTTCAGCAGTATGTGTACCAAGTGACGGTTAGGCCCATATTTTATTCCGACCTTCCTCATCTTAGTTCCATCACGAGCTCTGGACTGCCCATGTCAGCCAAGCGATGGCGACTACATATGAGTGGATGATTAAAAACGCAAAAAATAGCACCCCCGTGTTATAACGAAAGTGTTATGTTGTTTCATATCGCAAAAAACGATTAGAGGGAATTTTGTTACCGCAGTGCTTTAAACAATCGTGACAATGAATCTGATACATTCAATGCAATGTTCCGACTTTGCATTACTTAGGTTAGGGAAACTGTTTTCAAATCTTCCTGACGCCAGCATTTAGAAAATCTTACTAATTTAACTCAACTTTCCTGGGGTCAGAGCTTACTTAAATGAGTCGAATCGGCAACGTGACATAAATATTAAATATGACATCATCCTAAAACTGTGTACAACCTATCTTTCCTGGTGTTAGTTTGACATTGAGCCATTCGTTTGACTAACCTCACAAGGAACTGCCTGGGCCAGATTTCCAGCCTTTAGGTCGCCTACAATTATTTTCCCATTTCCTCCTTCTCTGCATCTGATGATAGCTTCAATAGTTGCACTGGTTTGCTATTCCCGCTGCAATTAAGAGCCTAACAGCCTTTAATTCTATAGCAAAAGGCACCAGCCTAGCCGCGGATCACGCAGAACCGCCGTAACCTAGCAGTCGATGTTGATCGAAAATGGCGGCCAATTTCCATTGTTGCGCAACTTAGGTATATATGGGCTTTGGCGAAGCCACCTCTAAAATAAGCACCAAGAATTCGCAATGGTAAAGTATGAGGAAATTTTTTTCGGGGTCAAAGGTCCATCGAATATCATGCCTACAGGTACGGTACTAGTAGGTTGCCGTACCGCATATTCCTTTCGGAGGATAGATTATAAAATATTGTTTTGCTCTACTCGTCCTGATCATATATCAAATGCATCAATCATTCTAACTGAGCTGAGTGACTTACGGGCCGCACTAACATTAAACTTTCATACCAATGCGGGGGCCGCGATTGGCCCGCGGGCCGTGAGTTTGAGACCTCTGGCCTACAGTATTATAAACACAGATTCACAAATGGCTGCCTATATTGAAGCTTGCAGAAGAAAAGCTCCAACAATCTCTCCATGTCGTATCCGAAAGAAAAAAATCCGCTAGATGCAAGTGAAAGGACCATAATAGAGGACTATAGACTCAATGAAAAATTGAAAATATGGAATCTTAATAGGCTTTGGCAACTCACTGATTTTATTGTCTGTTACACAAGTAGTTCATAATATGTAATTTGTTTTGTGGCAATAAATCTCTCTCTCTGTAACTTCAGCATTTATTCCATGTAGCCTATCCGTCAGTCTATAGATTACGCCACTGCTATATGAACAAAATTTCAAAACGCAAGCCGCAGAGGTGAGGCAGAGAGCTCGACTGTAGGCGGCGACAACTGATACGGCTGAGCGATCAGTCAGTGGATTTTGACTGCGAACGTGCGTAAGATTTCGAGAGAATATATCAACCGTGCGTCAAGTGCTTACGAGGTCTTTGGTGAATCGCATTTAACGAGATTTCGCTATGACGATTCTGAGAGACACAGTTAAGTGATCGTAAACCCAGCTTTTTACGAAGTTTAGTGAATGGGCCCCTGGTTGGATCCCTGACAATCCTTTCTCACTTTCGTCAGATTCGCATGTCTCTGTATCAAATGAAGTATCCGGTGACAGATCCTGTTAAATTATGGTATAAGCAATTCATACCTCACAATTTGATGGTGCTTTGGGCGATGAGAATCTGATATAGGGTCAGGGTATTCATCAGTTGGTCCATCGCCTCCATGAAAATGCATGATGGAACGCATTGCTTGTATAAAAATATATTTCATAAGAATTAACATATTGAATATATCATAGGTATCGAAAACAATATTTATGTTGGCCTACCTTGGTACACACGTGGGTATTTCTGGTGATTTTTCCTAGGTTGAATTGACTGTGAAGCCTGTTGCATTCTTTTATCCACCTCATTGTTTTTGGGGTCGATACGTGGCTTCGGAAAAGGCACAAATCTTACTCCATTTGAACGGCAGGGGTACCGTATCGAAGGCGAATTCTTCCGTATCGACATACGGTAGACTACCGGTACCCTTGATTGCATCAGCATGACTGTCTACTATTTTTTGGTTCGAAATAGCAGTTGGTTGACCTGTAGCTGTAGGTTCCATTACATTTGAACCCATGTACATTTAAACCCATGACATTTGCACCTGTATACTATTGCACCTATGGGAATTTTTTTTTTGTTTTACGAATATTTGAACCCATACTAATCCTAACCTATGGTTTTAGCACCCGCATATAGATTGAACCCGCGGATATACACATGGGTTCAAATGTACGTGGGTTCAAATGTACGGTCACCGTAGCTGTAAGGTGCCTGCAACGGGTGAAGCCTTTTAGTATAGATATATAGATTTCGTGAACGTGATTTGAAACAAGTAACATACAGTATTACAGCTTTCTAATTCTCGCAACCCTGTGAAGATAACAAAAAGCGAAAAAGGTACAAAGATCTTGTTGCGCTCGATTCTATGTAGCCTGGTTACTTCTCACGCAAATTAGGAGATCGGAGACTTCAAAAACGCGTCCCAATACCCCAGTCCTGACCCCAAACCTATATCGGTTAATTGTTACAACTAGTCCGTGCTTTCAAGCAATTAAAGTCTGTAAACAGCGGTTAAAGTGCCCCCAGATTCTTCTGTGCCTTTCAAGTGCTGCCCCAATATAATTCAATTTGAAATCGGTGAATATCTTTAATAACAATCAACAGACACTTGAAATCAAATCTCGAACATGAATCAGGAAATTAGAACTTGCCGGGTACGAGAAACGGAACGTTGTTAATGGAACGTAACGTAAATCTTGATACCGGGTATAAGGAACGTAAAGGAACGGTTTTCTGCCAAAATAATAGATAAAACTAAATAGCTTATATGGCACAATTAATCATTACCAACAGCATTACCATTTTTACAAGCAATAACAATTCACATTAATTAGCAGATAACCATATGTCACAATTATGTACAGATTAAATCACATAGGATAAAATAGTATTCACAATACTAAAATACAGAATAAATCATACAAGATAAAACAATATTTACATACCGAATGTTTAGGATCTCAAGGCAACTCAATTCAACAAATTATAATCCGAAGTAAATACAACCTAACTTATGTGAATAAATACAAGAAACAGCAGTTATCATTCTATTTGGACTATAATGTATCCCTACATTATATTACAACTCCAGTATAAACCCTTGATTTTAAACCCAATTAATAATTTCAATTCGAATCGTTTATCCTAGCCGCGAATAGTAAACCCAATATTAAACACGATAAACAACTCCTAGCGCAATAGATTACACTGGATACAAGACTGAAGGTGCCAACTCATCAAAGCAGCGTGGCGATAATTTAGAATTCCCGGGATTAATCGAGAAACAGGACTATGTCGCAATAATGCTGCGTCGATACGTTTGCAACGTCTGCGTAACAACGTAAAACGTCATCAAATTATAAACACGCTATGATTCTCGCTAACAATCTGCCTAAACCGCCAGCAACCTGTGCGGAACGCGTCCAAAGTTGTCTGAACGACTTTTCAGCGGAGAATGTTTGTTTACATAAGCTCGCTTGTGATTGGTTAGAAATACGGATGTATGGATGCCGGGGAAAGGTCCATTGAGCAAATTATTCTCCATAGCAAACATGTTCAATTTGCACACGCTGTTAGCATAATATATTTTGCCCACACGCAAATGCACTGGTATATTTTCTATACATTCCTACATATGATGGTAGAACATAACTTGGCTAAAAGTTTATAAGCTAACTTTTTTTTCAAATATCATGTATTCAAAATAGCGTTGTATAGCAATCAATGAGAAACCGGGAGTCCTCACGTCGTCTATGATTAGGGCCTCCCCGTTTTATTTTATGTGAAAAATAACATTGGCTGAGCGATTCAATATTTGCACCGTCATGTCGTTACCTATTTGTCTATGGTTGAAGTGGGACCTCAGTAAGTTGTCGATGTCTCGTTATTGCGAGTTGAAGCTTCAGATTCAGCTATTACTATAGGCTTTGTAATAGTCTGCTGGTCTGATTTTCAGTATTTCGATCAAATGAAAGCGTAAGATTGTATTGTGTGTATTAAGGCAGCTACAAAAGGGTAGTATATTGTGTAATGATTTGTTTTCCCGATGCGCTCATGTTTACACATTTTATGTACATATGCTATCTAACTCTGCCGGGAGACTGATTGATCTTTAGTGCGTATAGACGTAACTAAGAATATAAATAGCAGTAGAGATGTTAGCTGTGATTTTAATCGGTTTGGATTTGAGCTCGATTTTATAAGGGAATGGTCGTTTTTGATTTTAGGCAGTGAAGCAGAACAATTTTGTAATAAAACTGTGACTTTCAAAATGTTGAATTATTATGACTTGGATATGTTATCACTTTCCAGTCTTTAACTATAGACAATGGGTAATTTTGTCATCGCGTACTGGGAACTACGGGGGTTTGCTGAGCCCGCAAGAATGCTTTTGGAGTTTGGTGGAATAGAATATGAAAATAGACTTGTGAACGATGGAAAAAAATGGTTTGCCGAAAAGTTCAGTTTGGGAATGGATTTCCCGAATCTTCCCTACATAATTGATGGTGATGTTAAATTCACCGAGAGTTGGGCTATTTATAGGTAATTGAATTTGACATGAACTCCGGTACTATTTTTAGATTCATTTACATAAAAATTATTATTTTAATGAAAATACTAAAAACGTCTGACCACAGACCTTAAATATTTTTTTCAATGATATTCCAATTAGAACCCTTATCGTCCGATTAGATGGGTATTTGATTCAACATGATAAATTGGTCACACTTTTTGTCAATTCTGTCAAATCATATTTTATCTTGTCAAATCGTAGTCGATGTTATCCTCGTGGGCAATTTTTTCAGGTATCTTGGGAAAAAATTTAATCTGTTCCCAACATCGGAAACAGACCAACGACAGGCAGATATGCTTCAAGGAGTGATAAACGACATCAGAGTCGGATTTGTCAGATATATATATCACGCCGATCTCTATAAGAAAATCGATGATCTCCGTAAGAACCAATCTGGAAAAGTAGATTTGATGGAAAAATATTTAAAAGATAAGAAATTTCTGATGGGAAACGATTTGACTTTCCTTGATTTTGCTTTGTTTGAAACCTTCGATCACCACCGCCTATTTTTTACCGATATTTTTGACAAATCACCCAATATTCAAAATTACATGAAAAGATTTGAATCACTGCAGCCAATTGCTAACTATCTGAGTTCTGCCAGATACAAGAAGTTTCCAATAAATGGTCCAAGTGCTTCATGGGGTGGGCAAAAGGAAAACGATAGAAAATATATGTGAACTGTCCAAACAAGCATAGAACATAGTCGAAAATTCTTTATTTTCAATCCGAATATCAATATTTATATTAATTAATCTCATAAAAATTAAAATATTTCCTGAAATACATCTGTTATAACTTATTAATAATCAGCTGATCAATTCAATTAAAAAAATTCCGTATGTCCAAGGACTAAGTGAAAAAATTCGAAGAATTTTGGAAGACGTTAAAATCAGAGTAAGTTTTAAACCCCAAAAAACTATCGGCCAATTGCTCTCCAACGTCAAAGACCGCCCATGCCCTAAACAAAAAAACGGAGTTGTATATGCAATCCCATGCAGCGATTGTTCTTCAGTCCACATCGGAGAAACCAAAAGAAGCCTGGAAACTCGCAGCAAGGAACATCTACGAGATATTAAACAAAAGAAAATTGACAAGTCGGCCCTTTCGAAACACGCCCTTTCTAATAACCATAGCATCGACTGGGAAAACAGCAGGATACTAGAAAAAGAAACTCAATACAGGAGAAGACTATTTCTCGAATCTTATCACATAAATAAAGAGAAGAATTCGATGAATGACAAAGAAACCACACTTTTCCCGCCTGTATATAAATCATTGTTTAAATAGTCCCCTTTTTGTTTGAACTTGCGCTAGTTTGTTTATTTATACATATTATCTTATCATCATCCTTTTAGATTACAGTTGACGCCATGATAATTTTTTTCTTTTTCTTGCTCTATATATATCCACTTGTGTCCTTTCCATATCATGCCCTGATGAAGTTTTTCTATATAGAAATTCGAAACGTCGGCAAATTACATCGTTTTGCTAACACCGGTTGTGCTTCAGTTATTATCAACATCTGTTCTATGCCACCATATTCCAGAAGCAATTTTGCACTTTCACTAAAACTTATCAGGTCCCGGTAAACGAGTGCGAAGTTATCAATATAGCTATATGCAATTATAAAATATGTTGTATGATAATAAATTGTATCGAAAAATAACAGAGTGAAATCAGTTCCATAAATATAATTCAAGTAAATGAGTATCCCAAATAATTCTCCAGGAAATAAAAACTAGGAATGAAATCGGAAGGTAGTAGCAGTATCCGAGCGGAAATTTCCTATTTTAAATGGCTTCGCGAAAAAATCAGACTTATATGAGAAAACTTCAATATCGAGGTTGTAAAAACTAGAGAACACCATAGGACATGTTCTATACTGCAGACACTGATATTAACTTCAACACAAGATGTTAGGTAAACTAATGAGATAGTGAAAATGACCAGAAGAGAAATATGAGTATTCCATATGCAATAATCCTAGTATAGGCTTTTCAGATTTATTAGATTGGTAAAAAGAAACATCACACGAGGATATTGTATGCCTTGAGTGATAAAGAAAATTGGATATTTATTGCTCTAAGGAATCTTGCTTGTAGAGACATTCTAATGCATGGGATATTGATACTCGTGCGCTTTGCTGGTGGCAAACAGCCGGTCGCTCTTAGACATTATTATTTATGATGCACATGCAATGTCACGTGTAGTTCTGCTGATCTGCAGCAGCTGTCGTAGTAGAAAACCACAACTTTTTATATAGTGAATGACAAACCAAATTTCGCATTACTGTCTGCGTTCATCTATTGGTCGCATACGGGCAAATGACTTGAAATGATAATCTTAAGTAAATGTTCCTAGTCGAGGTGTACTTAAATCACAGAACATGCAAGATGTATATTTATTGTTATGAAAGCGCTGAATTAATATGAATTCTATAGAATGAAACGAATGCCATTTTACAGTCTGATTTATATCGGTTAATATAAGGCCAAAATGGCTGACATTTACAAAATACATCAAATCGAATATCAGCTATTATCAGCTGCTTCTCAAAAGCATCTGTAAGAAACAAGCAAGCTTATTCTCTCGTTTAAAAATGGTCGAAGAAGTTTTATGGTGGCCCAACCAAATAAAAAACGAGAATATCGGTCGGAGACCGAAGACTTATCAATAACTCGCTAATTATACCACAAAATTCAACCAAAATCAATAGGCTTCTGATTCGAGATATGATGAATGCACATGCAAAATTTGGAGCAGATTCAACCTCGCTTTCGTGAGATATCGTGTGCATCTCAACAGACAAATAAATACCGATCAACATACTTACCGATCTAAAGATCGATAAGTAATGAGCATAATGTGCGCCACTGTTGCGGGAATATCAAGTTTAAGTGGGCTGTTTCGTAAAATTTGAAACACCAACACAAATATTTAATGAAGTAACACTACAAAGATTTCTGGGCGAATATATATAAGCCTATATATACTGATTCGTAACCAATATGCAGCATTGCCATTAAGTCAACTTTATCAGAATTATTGACGGATACGCAGTGACGATATTTCCGAAATCTTATTTAATTGACCCAAACATTTGATAAAAAAAATACAAACATAAAAGGACAACGAGTCCCAGGACCAGTACCAAAGATAGTGTCGACATTTTATTTTACGCTGGCGATAAAGACGACCAATGCAGATACGTAAGAAAACAATCAGAATAAAATTAGTTCGCAAATTTGAAAATGGACAGTACTTACTACTTACTTTTGGTGATTGGCAGGAGATATAAAACGTGTATTGCTATGGAAGAGGTATAGTTGAAAATCGTTCAATAAATTATTTCGCCGCTTGAATTTTTTCTCCGGAGTTTCGTGACAGTAAGCCAAATCTTCATCACTAGCGGCCCACGTAAAATTGTTTATATCGTGTGTAATATCTTACAACATTCTACCTACTTATTAAATTTATGTCTGCTTTTAAATGTTGCCTGCGAATGAATTCCAAAAATATTTATCAGTTTTAAACAAAATGTTTGCATTCCCGGCATTGGATGAATAACGTTTGTGGTTTAGAAAACATCTACCTTGTAAAACGTAATTGATATTTGAACAGAGAAGTTTTCAAGAATAATGCAATCTTGATGAGGTTGAAATTAGTCAAAAAATGATAATGAAATGAAAAAATTATATAATCATTCATTATAAATTGAAAGTAACCCTAATATAAAAACGCAGCTAATGTTGCTCGAAATATTTCTCAGAAAGTCTGATCGTCACTCTGATCTGACCGTTTTCGGGTGAGGACGTGATACTGGATTATGGAATAAGCATGTTTCGGACTAAAACATTGAAAACCCGTCCAAACGTAGATCCTCCGGTGGAACATTTTAATTTAAAACTTAGAAAGAAGATGAGAGTAAACTAAGCTGCTCAGGTATTTAGTGATGTAAGCCGAGCACTGAAAACGCCTTTTTACTTCAGGTGACGCTATGAACATTCTTTGCAACTGTTTATTTGCAATTTCCGGATTAAATTAACTATGGCGCGGATATCTAGTTCCCAGGCTTGTTCAATGAAAGTAGCATTCGTTATCATATTTTAGCATGAGGCGATAGCAGATGTGTGTGCAGCACTTGAGGAGTGTGTGTCGCGTGCAAGACAATCGACGCCGAACCCTGTCTTTTCGGGTGATTCGATAAATTAGTTGATTTAAATTTAAAATCGTTATATATTCACCAGCTACAAAATGGCTAAGCCGGCTTAATCTCAGCTAACTTCAACAGAAGTAGTGGTTTTTATCATGCTTACTCGGGGTAGTTACTTGATGAAACAACCTTTTTGGTGAGGATTTCCATTCCAGCCTGATATTAGTAATCTGGTGGACCAAAACAGATGTCAAATGTAAATAAAAACATTGATGCTATGCTGTAATTTTAGTTCCCATAAAATTACCTTCAATTATTTTTATGCATATATCTTTCCATACCAAAGGTTTGTTCCTTACGTGCATTGTGGCCCCGTAAGTATGCGAGTTTGACACATCTGTTCTATGTCACCATATTCCAGAAGCAATCTTGCTCTCACACTAAAATCTATCAGGTCAGGTAAACGAGTACGAATTTATCAATATAGCTATATGCGGTTATAAAATATGAGATATGATAACAAATTGTACCAAAAAAAAAACAGTAGAATCAGTTTTCTAAAAAAAATTCTAAGTAAAAGAGGATATCTCAAATTATTCTTCAAAAAATAGAAACTAGTATTGAACGTAGTAGCAATATCCGAGCGGAAATTTCTCATTTTTAAATGGCTCCGCGGAAAAATCTGACGTATGTGAGAAGAATTCAATATCAAGGTTGTATAAACCAAAGAACACCTTAGGCCAATTTCTATTTTGGAGACACTAATATTAAGGTCAACACAAGATGTTAAGAGGACTAAGGCGATAGTGAAAGTAAATGGTAAGTAAATGGGCGTTTTATATGAGTATTCCATATACAATAATCCTAGAATAGGCATGTCGGATGTAACAGGTTGGTGAAAATAAACGGGATATGAAGATATTGTAACTATGAATGATAAAGACAATTGTATTTTCTTGGCTAGTTTACATGTGTGACGTACACTTACTCTTGTGTACAGATTCATTGTTTTTGTATTTAGAAGCGCTATTTTTTTTTAATTTTCCCTTATAATTATTTTGTTAATCATTTATTGCCTTAATGAATCTTGCTTGTAGAGGCATTTTAACGCAGACAAAGGAGGTTGAAAACCGCGCGTTTTCCTAGTGGCAAACAACCGGTCGCTCTTAGATATTATTATTTATGATGCACATGCAATGTCACGTATAATTTAGCTGAACTGCAGCAAGTGTCGTTAAAGAAAACCACAATTGCCGAACTAAATGACGAACCAAATTTCGCATTACTGCCTGCGTTAATTGGCAGTCATCTATTAATCGCATACAGGCAAATGGTTCTAAATGATAATCTTAAATAAATGCTTCTACTTGAGGTGAACTTAATCATAGAACGTGCAAGAATCTGTATTTCTGATTGTGAAGGATCTGAATTACCATGGAATGTTACCGATGATTTTTTACAGTCTGATTTACATCGTTTCATATAAGCTCAAGATTTATAAAACAAGTCAAATTGAATATTAGTTATTATCAGCTGCTTGTCAAAACCATATATAAGAAACCATAAGCTCATTATCTCGTTTACAACACAATCAAGGAAATTTGAAGGTGGCGCAACCAATTAAAAAAAACAGTGCCTTCTAGTAAGATGAGCAACCAAGGTCGGATGTGGGAAAATGTAGACAGCTAATTGACCTGGTGCGCGAATTTAAATTGTACAGGGATTTCACTTGAAGGCGCATTGAGCTCAGCATATACGAAATAGAATAGAAACCCTAATCATTTGGTTTATATGTAGCAATATTTATAGCGTATTTTCCAACTATCTTCATTCCTTTAAATTCTATCATTCGATACCCATTTTCTCACAAATTCTCGGAAATTTTCATAAAACTTTCTTACTATGTAAAATAGATCTGGGCTATTTCATCAGTCACAATTCATTTTTTTTTAAATCGGTTAGCCTGCTATTACCCGCGCATCTGCATTAGTATCCGCATAAGGCGAAAATTCAAGTGTTTTTAAGTTATTTCTATTTGTTCACAATATCATGGAATGCGATTATTTTAAGAGTTATTAGAAGGCTTGAAAAGTGTATAAGCTGACTTTTTTTCTGGCGTTATATCTATTTAAGATTCATTTAGATATCGGCACTCCCGGCACTGACTGTTGACATCACGAGAAAATTAAACATTAGATATACGCGATTCAATATTTGCACGCCATGCCGTTACCTACTCGTCTACAATTAAAGTGGAATTTCAGAAAGTTTCCGAAGTCTCGTTATTGCGAGTTGGAGACTTGCAATCTGTACCATCGGGCTATGTTGTAATTTGCTCAACTACTTTTTCGTATTTCAATCAAATACAAAGCAGATGGAGAGTATAGGCTTATTAATTTATCAAAAGTTATACTAAATAGTAGACACGTCGATTAAATAAGGCAGGCAAGCGAAAGATTGTTTTGTGTGTATATATACTTAAGTGCAAATGTCCGCGGGTGGCATGTATATAGGCGGATGCTAAAATCTGTGAGTGCAAATGTTCGTACAAAATTTTGCGGATACAAATGTCCTGGGTGCAATCTATGAGTGAAAATGTGATGTCTCCAGAAGGCAGCAATTCTAATATTACGAAAGCTTCTCAAGTACAGTGTATTGTGCAACGACTTGCTCTTCTAAATGTGTTCATATGTTAATTCTTTAGTATGGATGCGCTATCAGTCAACAACTTTGGCCTCTTTGGTCGTTAGCGCTTATTATAAAAGTAACGCAGATTTGTATCAATTACAGAAAAGATATTGGTTATGAGCTTCAGATGGTTTGGAAAAAAGCTAGATTTTACACGAGGGAAAAGAGAATGAGAAATTTAGCTTGTAGTCAGTAAAAGAACTCACATTTTGCCAATTAAACTATTGGCTCCGAAACTTTAAATTATTGTGCCTGAAATATTTTTATATTTCGCTTCAGGTTGTAAAAAAGCTATAGAAAATGGGTAAATTTGTCTTCACTTACTGGGACTTACGGGGAATTGCAGAACCAGCAAGAATGCTTTTAGAGTATGGTGGAATAGAATATGAAGATAGACGTATGAGTGTGAGCGACCACCCGAAATGGCTTGTTGAAAAGTTCAGTTTGGGACTGGATTTCCCGAATCTTCCCTACATAATTGATGGTGACGTCAAACTCTCCGAGAGTTGGGCTATTTATAGGTAATTAAATTTGATATGCGTTCCGATACTATTTTTAGATTCATTGACATAAAACCAATGATTTTTTTAATAAAAATAGTTGAAATATTCGACAGCTAACCTCAACTTTTTTAATATTTTTTAATCAAATTCCAATTAGAAATTTATCATCCGACTAGTTTTTTGCCTGATTTAATGTGATAAATTCGAATTCTTGAAAACTTAATTTTGTTAAATTAAATATTGTTTTCCAGATATATTGGCAAAAAAATCAGTCTGTTTCCAGCATCGGAAGAAGACCAACGACATTCAGATATGCTTCAAGGAGTGATAAACGACATCAGAGTCGGACTTATCAGATTTATGTATGATGCCGATCTCTATAAAAAAATCGATGAGCTCCGTAAGAACCAATCTGAAAAAGTAGATTTGATAGAAAAATATTTGAAAGGTCGAAAATTTCTGATAGGAAACGACTTGTCTTATCTCGATTTTGCTTTGTTTGAAACTTTCGACCAACACCGTCTATTTTTTACCGATATTTTTGACCAATCACCTAATATTCAAAATTACATGGAAAGATTTGAATCACTGCCGCCAATTGCTAACTACTTGAGTTCTTCCAGATACAAGTTTCCAATAACGGCTCCAATGGCTACATGGGGTGGGCAAAAGGAAAATGACAGAAAATAGTTGGTAAATCACGCCGAGGGCAACGTAGAAAATTTGTATTACAACCCGAATATCAATCTTTGTTGTATTTGTAATATGATAGTAATTAAAATATTTCCTGAAATATTATTGGTTTTACTTTATTGATATTTTTTGGTCAATTCCGTATGAAAATTTCAATTGAGTTTGAATAAAATCAAAAATGAATAGTGCAAAAGATAACCGTGCATTGATGGACAAGTATAGTGGAAATCGTTCAATGAGTTGTTAAATTTTACAAATCGAAATTTTAATTCGGGAGCTACGTGCCAACTAGTCCATAATTTATAACTAGCTACGTACGTCAAATTTTTTATATGCTTTTAAATCTTTCAAAGTACATTATGTAGGCATTATGCCTACTTCATCTGCTTTTAAGTGTGGTCTGTGGTATGTATCAAAGAAATATTTCTAAAACATTCAGTGGTATTGAACATAATGCCCGTCATTCATCGCATTGTATAAATAACGCGGTTTTGTGGTTTACAAAACAGCAAAAAAGAAATGTGCAAACGTGGCAAAGTCAGGAACGAAATATAACATTGGTATGGCATATCTTATTAGGTTATATGATCCAACCTTGACCAGACATACATGATCGATAAGCAAAACTTTCCAATAGAGAGAATAAATGCACTGTACTATGTTATAGGCTACAAGTGAAGGCGCGTCAGTATTAAATTGTTACGTCAAACGGTAGCAACCTTGCCGAGTTTGAACTGAGGTAAAATCTTTGATAGTGAAATGAAACATGTTATCCTTCATCATAATTTGTAACTATAAAATTAAAAACAACTCAAATATAAAACCTCACCTCATGTTGCTCGGAACATTCTCAAAGGTCAACCTTTATATAAGCTCTATATTGCATAGCTTGCGATTGGCATCGTATATGACATAATCTTCTTTCATGAATAAATGATGCAACGAGATGCAAACAATCCTACAAATTATATGCTGGTAGGATTTGTTATGTCTTTGTTTATTTCAAAATGACCCGGTCCCAAAACTAAACGCATGTTTATTCTCATTACCGTTCTACCCAGGGGATATATATATTATCGCTCGCTCGCCAACCCCTTCCTGAATACAACGTCCTAAAAAAATCTTCACTATTGTACCCAAGCATTTCCTCCTGATCATTTGTGAGTGCGTTTTGCATTTGTGGGCATTTAGACTGATGCAAATTTCATTTACAGAGGTTCATACTACCTATTATATCATCGACGGGTTCAAATAAAATTGCATAGATAAAGGACCCAGATGTACGTTCAATATATACATCTAAAAGCCGTATTCAGGCTTTTATTTAAAAGGTATTTAATGGGTTTTCAAACAAAACATAACCTTATCTACAAAACTGCAAATTTTGCCATCCTATAACCTTTGAAAATCATTTTATTTCTATTTAAAGGGCATTTAAATAAAACATAATTTTATCTAGAAACAATTTTGCGTATGTTTATGCGTTTAAACAATCATATGTACTCATGAACTTGGACAAGAAACAAGAATAATTTTGGTAATCTGTAATTCGTAATATTTTCGTCAAATAATTTTGAGATGTATTTATGTTTAATATGTCATAGCTAGGTAAATCTCAATGCAATGGCTAAGCATATCACGAGCTTTCCAAGCTACCAGTTGCCCCAAACACCAGTACTCATCAGCAAATATTTTAGGTAAAATTTTCATTCAAAACATCGAGATTCCCCAAGGAAACAAGCTATAAGACCACATTTTCTTTTCTCAAATTTTTTCGTTGCACGATTCTTCTATATTTCTGCAGTCAATTCATTTGTTGATCAATTTCAATTGAACTTCTATTTTAAATAAATAATAAAAGCTTTTTGAATTGCTCTGGACAATAGAACAAAAAACATCATTGTAATTAGAGATTCTGTTCGATACAAAATAATTACATCCGAGTCACCGATGGAAGCATTTTCAAAGTGTTATATACTGTATATACAGAGTATATGTATATACTAAATTGCCATGTATGGGAATAAAGAATTTGATAGTGTTGGGCGATGCTTGTTAAACGATTTTTCTCGCCCAATCAGCAATGAATATTGAAATACGTAAACTATAAAACCCTTCAATATCCGACATGTTATCTAGGCCAGGGTGGTCCAAGGTTGCGAGATTGAAGGGCCGCAAAAACATTTAAGGAGGTCTCGCGGGCCGCAGTCGGAGGAAACCCAAAGGTGATCAAAACATCGCGAGTTTACTCACTTCAAATATATTTAGGAATGAGAGTATACCGTTCTAATCAGTTTTTAAGGAAGATATATAAACACTTTATTTATTTTAAAATTGATTTCCTAGAAACATCGTGGTATGTTCGGTATCTTTCCTCGTGTTTGGTTTTGTAATGTCGCTTAAAATTATATTCTTTCGTGACAGATATTACTTGAAAACACACCAGACACTGTGGTTTAACGTTGTTGTGGGTATGGAAATACATTTAATCTCGGTTTACTTTTGTCACCTTTCATCTCGACTCATTGTATGATGAATTAATCACTTGTAGCGTGAGAAGGCCTATTGCCAGCGTCAAAAAACAACCAAGTCCGTCTAATTTGGGACCTCGGATCCAGATAAAAAAAAAAAATGAATCGCGCGGCGCTAAGTAAGCTCTGCGGTTCGTCATTGCTGTCACATGGCTAACGCTTGAAAATATAGTGCTTTGACTAAAATAAAGAGAGGCACAAAGCGTTAGAAAAGGGGTTTGAATCTGGGGATATTCCCAGTTGGAATAGCTGAAAAAAACTCAAAAACGTTCCTCCATTAGATATAAATATACGCCAAAATTGTTCTGTGAGCCGCACGGAATGTATCAGCATGACAGGGTTTGGACCACCCTGGTTATACCTTATCATAAAACTCGCGACTTCGCTGACCACTAGATCGTTTAAATAGTTCATTAGTCTGCTTGTGGAAGAAAAAAGAAATTTTTTTAAAACAAAAATGCAGCAACAAGGAGAATACTAGAAAGAAAAAACAACAACAATTTAAGAAAACGACTCATAGGCCAATTTCGTGTCCAAAAAAATGTTTCCGTGTTTATTTTTGATAAAAAAAAGGTTAATATGATACTTGAAGACAAAAATAAGCGAACATTTTGAAGTTTGAGTCGTCTGGTGAACTCGTAATATTTTAATAAACACCGATAAACTATATATATATATATAAAATTATGCTCTAAAATTTCTGTGGTGCCCCTCTTTGCTTGGTGCCCTAAGCATGTGCTTATATTGTTTAATGGGTAATCCGGCGCTGATTTGAACCCACCACAATTGCACCTTGCATAGAAATTTTTAGTCGGTAATTTGTCGGTAATTTTAAGGTTATTTGAACCCATACTAACACTAACCCATGGGTTTTAGAACCCGCATATAGATTGAACCCGCGGGTATACACACGAGTTCAAATGTACGGTCACCGGTTATTCAGGTACGGGATTGATTTTTAGACTCGGTTCTATGTGTGATCAGTCCTATTTGTAGTCCAAAAGAATTTCATGCAAGACATCTTAAAATAATTATCCAAAGTCAAATGTTAAAGACGATTTTGTTGTCTTTAGTAACTCGCTCATTAAAAGCGTGGAACACGCAAAAAAGCTAAGGCAACACCAAATCGCCCACGCCACGGTCCATTGAGGATACGGCGGAATTCGTATTGCCGTTCGAAGCAGTCAATTATCGTATGTCTGAGAGTTAATTTCGTGTGCGCCGGAATTTTGTTTTGTCTGAAGTTTCTTGAGCCTTTGTGAACCTTGTATCATGGACGTAGACATTATCGATTAGTAAAAATGCTGGTCTGCTGCAGGATGTCATATATCAAAAACGACATCTCTTGAAACTTCAACCTGTGTAAGTTCATAGCAGGAAGTAACCATTGAAAATCATGACAAACTGCTTATTTCGCAGACACGTAGACGAGTGATTTATACGGACAAACGGGCTGTTTGTGCGTACATATTTCGTTGTCAGGATCAAATTTAGAGTAAAATGCCGAAGATAGACAAAGCAAGGACTAAGGATAGATCTAATCAAAGTATATTCAACTAAGATATCATTTTGTAATATCTTTTAGCAAGGTTCGGGATACACACCCTCAGGCGCTTCAGTTGATGTGATATTATACAAAAACGAAAAACAAGCAATTTAGATGCGTGATTTATCGAAGCCCAGCTGCGGCTCCTAAATGCATGTGTTATGCAAGAACGCTTTGTTAAAGTGAAGCGATAATTCTGTGTTGAATGGTATTTGGACTTATGCATTCTTAAATTTAGTTTATAGACTTGTTTTTGGATTGCTATGCTGGTAAGGGTAGTGCGTGCTGTTTTTTTGGGATAATGGCCATGCTTGGGAAATTGGAGGGGTCATTCGCGTCATATATCATTACAAAATATTGTTTAGTTACGCCCAATATTTAAGTGACTTTCTTGCAAACGCAACTAGAATTATATAATCTTCAAGTAAATGATTATATTGTCGAAATTGCGATTTCCGTGGCACAGTCGAATTTTTTATGAAACACTGCATAAGGTTTTCAGGAAATGATTCAAAATTCAATCTTGTTTGAGATTGTCATCGAACGTTAAAAATCTTCGCTGATGATTCAGAACATGTCATTCTTCATTTGGATGTATAAACTTACTTACGCAGCTGTCCCGGCTTTCTTACACTATTTTAGCTGTACCAAAAAACACATCTATGTAATTTTCACAGAAACTAGGTCAACGACAGAAAGTTAAGATGGGTAAATTTACTCTAGCCTATTGGCCTTCAAGAGGATTTGCAGAACCAGCAAGAATGCTATTAGAATATGGCGACGTTGATTACGAGAACAAACATATGGCAAGCAGGGAAGAGTGGGGAGAAATCAAGCCCAAATTGGGGATGGATTTCCCAAATTTGCCGTATATCATTGACGGTGATGTCAAACTTACAGAGAGCTGGGCGATTTACAGGTTTGTAAACGTTATTTTATCCACATCTTCAGTATAATTTATCAATGACTTTTTTTACTTACACTACACGACTGACTGTAGTGTCGCACAAACGTTTCGATGCCCAAAACTGATTTCTTATATATATAGAGTTATACTTTTTGCAAATTTCGATTGCGTTCCACTTTTAGCGTGCTCGACAACTCTTAACGTTTGCGGCTATTGGCCAACCTCGAAGATTAAGAGCATATTAATTTTCTTTGAGGCGGTATCCAAATGACTTTGTCCCATTCGTATTGTCAAAATTCTTTGACGTGTTCAATGTATTCACGCAGTTGAAAATGTAAATCATGAATAAAACAATAACTTATGGGGGTATTAACGGGTGACTCGGTATGAAGAATTATATAAAAATATTTGAGGTCTTGTATGAGTTTTTTTATGGTGTGGTTAGGGCATGTTACTGGTAGCGATCTATCACTGCATCTTCAACTTACACTGATATGCAATATTTTATTCGCAGATATATTGGGAAAAAATTGAATTTGTTTCCCGCAACTGATAAAGAAGCTCGGGATGCAGATATGCTTCAAGGTGTAATCCAAGACACGAGAATTGGTTTTGCAAGATATGCTTATTCCCCTGACCTATACCAAAAACTAGAAGAACTTCGCAAAAATCAAGTGGCAAAAATTTCTGTGATGGAAAAATATCTGAAAGGAAAGAAATATTTGCTTGGTGAAAAGTTGTCTTTTCTCGATTTTGCATTGTACGAAGCATACGATCATCATCGCCTTTTTTTTACTGATATTTTCGATCCATGTCCCAATATTCAACAATACATGAAAAGATTTGAATCCTTGGAACGAATCGCCGCTTACTTCAACTCCGACAGATACAGCAAGTTTCCAGTTAATGGCCAAATTGCTTCATGGGGTGGACAAAAGGAAAACGACAGAAAATATTAAAATTTTGCATTTACTTTTAGTCGTTCATCATCTCATGTTATTACACGGACATTCTCATTTTCACCCTAGTTGACTTCATAGTTCATCTTGCTTATGTGCATGTCAGTTCCAAATTCGGAATATTATATACATACACAGTGTTTTCGCGTTACTCCGTAGGCTTGAATCAGACTAATATTCGTCATATGGAGCAGAGTTTTTCTTTTTAGGAAATCTGCAGTAATCAGTGGGCTTGTTAGTGTGGTAATCAGTGGATACCACGTCACTGTACTGGTGGTAGACTAAGACTGCGTTCAAACTTCAGCGTATGTAGAAACCTGCTCGTAGCATCACTTTTACAAGATGGAGGAAAGCTTTTCTACAGTCGGATTCACGCAATATGAAACTGGACTAACGGCACTCCCGTAGTAGATGTACCAGGTTAGGGTTAGTTCATACTTTTATTCCGATTTTTCCTATTTTAGTTTACGAGTAGGGCTGGGCATTTCGAATCGAATAGTAAATTATTCGAATCGGTTCAAAGCTAAATTTCGAATCGCCGCTATCTTGTTTTTTTGTTTCCGCCAATTGTCGAGATGAATTCCCCAATTTTTTTTTCATTGAAGTCATATTTTTTCTAATTTTTTCAACGCAATTCTAATATACGACTATTTTCTGTAGTGAGTTATAGTTAAAACGTGTTTTTTATTGTGTGTGAACGCTCACAATATATCTGAGTGATGTATTCTATGTATTCAGTGATTTATTTGTTAAGAGGACCATTTACTATAAAAAAGTCGCTTACAATTATATATTTCCAAGTATTCGAGATTCGATTCGATTCGAAAAAATTATTCGATTCGATTCTGAAATCACAAGATGTTCGAAAATGCCCAGCCCTATTTACGAGTTCATGGATTGTCTCTGTTAGCCAAGTGAATATACCTTGTCGGTAGGTTTCAGTCCTTTCATACAACTTGATGTGTATGCACCGTAGCACCGTAGCAAATTAAGCTAGACTGGTCGTACATTCATATTTGTGAGGTCGAATAATATGTTCATCATATTTAATTTCCTCATCTTGCCTTTTGCTAGTTGATAGAAATTAAAGTTCGAAAAGCTCTTCACTGGAGCAACTAGAGTAGGGGTCGGCAAACTGCGGCCCGCGGGCCAAATGCTGGCCGCGAACTAATTTTTTGCGGCCCTTGGACGACTTTCAATGCATTAAACAAAAACTGATTTTAAAAGTATTGTCTCCACAGGGATTTATGTGGTAACACATGCAGCTGTACGTCGCTTGTTTTGTAGCAAGTTGCGCCAGTTTCATGTCGTTTATTTGATGAACGCCGCATGGTTGGTTTAAGTTATAAGTTACTTCACAGTTAAAGTTCATAGGCGGAAATCAATGCGGCCCGCACGCTACCGGAAAGTGGATATTTGGCCCACAAGTACATAAAAATTGCCGACCACTAGTTCGGAAGTCTATTGGGCGGTGGAAAGAGGTTTTGCGTAACTGATACATAAAGCCTTTTGTGATTCACGGTTCGTTTTGATTCGACAGAAAATAAATCTCTCACAATTTGATTAGCTCATGCCTACCTATCACTTAAAAAAAATAAAAAAAATTTTCATATAAAAGCTATGAATCGAAAGTTAAAACTAGCATGTGCTCTCATTACACCATGAAAACGAGTCGTCAAGCTGAAATTCACATTGTAGAGTTCATGTGTGAATATACAAAACACTGACATACTTACCTGAATCCATACGTCCCTACTTTCCAACTCTTATCAAATGTTTTATTTATAACCATCGAAAAATCAAAAAAGGGGTCAGTATTGACTCAAAACGCCCGTTTATTCATTCAATGTGAGTTCGTTGCGAAAGAGTTAATCTTGTCAAAATTCACATATATATGCTTTTTTGTGAATTGACATGCGAATCAATTCTGATAATTTTTTTTTCTTGCAATCGTTTCAAATCAAGTTTGTTTTACCTGTTTTGTTTAGAAAGGTGGTATTATTAAAATATTCAGAAAATACTGTATGTCCATACTGTCTTTGAATATGAAATATGGTATAACTTCTTTCCTGAATATCTTGAAAAAAATTGGCAATATTCCGCCAGGATCTTATTTAGTAACCATGGAAGTGACTGCCTTATATACAAATATTCCACATCAAGATGGCATCTCAGCAGTGGAAATATATAATTTATTTGAGATTTTAATTCAAATAAATTTATTTATCGCTATATTCAAACTGCGTGATTGGTCATTTCTTGCCATTGTTGTAAACTGCTTGTCTGAGAAAGTCTGACTTTGGTCGGACAAAACGTTACAGAAATACATTTGTGTTACGGTGCAGCAAGACTCTTTAATTGGATAGCATTTTCCAGTTTTTACATACTGGATTCCATAGTTGAGCGCTTATAAATTTGAAACTACACTATCATAAAAAAAGGGGTCACTTGACTTGCGCATAATACTGGCTAACGATTCATTAAAGAATGAATAAATGAAGTAGTTTTTATGAATAGTGAAGGAAGAATAAAGAGCAAGTGCAGTTTCAAGTATTTTGTGGCGTCTAGAGCTGCCGCAAAACCATGGCGGGATTTACAAACCATGGCCACTATGACCAAACCCACGGCGACTGACTTTTTAGCTTCCACAAACCAATAGCGAGCTGCCGTGATTACGGCAGCAAATGGAATATCACCAATTTTGCTGCCCTAACCACGGCATGTGGGCTGTAATAGCAGGGCTGCCCGTGATGGTGATAAATATTGGGTAAGTTGGAACACTTTTCTTATGAATACAATTTTGATGTATTTGGGGTTAGGTTTAGGTTCCATATAATTCCGCATGATAAACTAAAATATTGTACATGACTTTGTAAATATACCGGGCCATAAAACCATGGCAAGAGACGCCGCGGTACGTTCGTGGCAGGAACTGCCATGAAGTGGTAAGAACTGCGCCTCATAAAAAGTTCCAATATAAGCGAAGGGAAGAATTTAACGAAAATGTTGCAAAACACTGGTTAAAACAAAAACATGACACCTCTCAACCTGTAGCATAACGTGTCAACAAAGGTGGTAGGCTATGGGAGTCGCAACTGACAAGCAATTACGCAAACTACCCAGTAACAGCGAGGAGTCGTTGCCATCGCTCTCAGTACATTCTTCATATATCGTATTAACACCCTAGTGTTATCAAATGTTGGCAATATGCGGGCTCCTGTCAACCTGCTTTGGGTTGTGTTTAGCAGTCCCGCGAGGTATGTTTCTTAACTTGCCTTTTCTTCAATATAAGCTTTCCCGTGATTTCTCCAATAAACACTGCTGTCAAAATCTTATGACTTTGGTGTAGGTACTATCTTTGAGAGAGAGCTAGGCGAAGAGAGTAGAGAGTTTGAGCGAATTTGTTTTTACATTCAAAAATTATTTTTAAAATTGATAAAAACAAAGCCCCTGTCTAAAGTCGACTGGGCATAGCTTCCATGCCCATAATGTCACGACGATTCCTCTATTTCCTGTCGTCATAATCCTTTCCTCCCCAGATGGCCATGGGTCCACTAATTGGAAATTTTTTGTACTTTTCGGAATTGAAGTATTTTGCCAGTTTTTCCAATGATTCGAATCGTTTCATGTAAGCTTGAATATTAGGTGATTTATCAAAAATGTCAGCAAAGAATAGTCGGTGATGATCCAGGGTCTCAAACAAAGAAAAATCTAAGTACGAGATATCATCTCCCAACACAAAGTTCTTGCCTTGGAAATACTTTTCAAGATATTCAATCTTTGTTTCTTGCCTTTCCTTGATTTCTTTTTGTTTTTCGTAAAGATCTGGTGAGTAAAAACTGTAGTTTAAAGTCCGGAGATCTCGTATTTCGCCTTCCAATATTTCAGCTTGACCAATGACATTAAACAACATGATAGGCAACTCTGACGTCACCCCGTAAGACTACATGCGAAAGATTGTATTTCATGATACGCTCCAATGCACATATTTCTCGTCGCCTTTCGCGACCGTTTTCCGCTCGCTTTTGCTACTCGGCGTCTACTTTACGTGTAGTGCCTGCCTTTTTGCGCCTGTAACGAAAGAAAATAATCTCTATATCTAAGAAGTTTTGCTCACTTGGGAAGCTGGAATGGCAGACAAGCTGTAAAGAGTAATTCTGGACATCATAGACGTTTTTTTTTATCAGAGAAGATTACAAACGCGATAGCGTAAAGATTTGTGTGGAACATTTTGCAGATAATGACAAAGTTCAAAGTTAGTAATTTTAATGTTTGCGCTTAAAACAATGAAATTTCATTTAAAGAGAGTGTCATGCAAAACTGTTTTTACTTCTCTTAACGGTGCTGTGATACAATTCCATAACACAAAGTTTGCACCTATCGAACATGCTTTAGTAGGTTAATTTATTAGACATATATATTACATATTTAGTTAACCGTAGGTAACATTGCTGGTACATAATGCCTCGTAGATAGGTTTGTGTCTAAATTTAGTTCACTAATTAATATTATCTTCTATGCAGGAGGTTGCAGGACTGATTCAACTTGCAGACTTACCGATCATCTGACGATGCTCATTTAGTTTGGCTCGAGCAAGTCTTCTTGAAAGACTTGTATGAATGGAAACTACCTATATGTGTTTTGCCTTCCTCCGATTTTAGAAGACAAATTTATTCTGAGGGATTTGGCATATAATTGTCATTGATTGTTGGCTGTTTATAATTCCTATTAATTGTGAATTCTGATTATAACGAAGAGTTAAAAATTTTTTTACGTAATTTACGGGCACCTTTTTCTTGTCAATACTCCAAGCTGAGGTAATAAACAAGACAATACTGTACATTTATGTCATCTGGAAGCAAAATATGCAAACTAATTAAAAGTTTGACACATTGAGATAATACATCATGACAGAAAATACAAGTTAAAGATATGTATGACCATCACATGGTAATTAAAATTAAAAAAAAAATTAATAGGGGCTGTGGAGTATATAAAGTTCAAGACAAAGAAAAGAACATAAGTTCATAGCTCATGAACTCTCAATTTTGCCTCCATTGCTTTGTGAAGGCCAATATATTCCGAGTGGCTGAATTGGTTTACCTTTATGATAGCAACGATTTTGTATTCAATATAGCGAGATTTTTTCAATTTAATTGCAGTGATATTATTTCCCAAAGCAATGCTCGAATCGTCTAGAATAGATCAGTGGTGTCAAACTCAAGGGTTTTTGAGAGCCGCATTGCATTTTGGAAATTGTAAAAAGGGCCAAAAACACTTTTTGATAATGTATACTTGAAAGATATTTTCAGATAGTTTTAGTTTGTGACATATATTGTGATGCAACTAAACAGTTGGATTAAGTTTTATTATTTTCTTTAATTTCAAATGCAATTACATATTGATATTTGCATTCCACTATTATTGCAAGTTACTGTATTTATTACAAAAAACCATAAAATTCTATATACAACCATCAAAATCATTTTTGAACAAGCTTTGGATAAGGAAAGAATAATACATACACTAAAAATGACTTAATCTAAATACATGGACTTGAAATTAACAAAAATACTACAGTATAAACTCAATGTTTTTTTAATTACATTTGTCCTGACGTTTGGCATCTTTTTTGTGTCACCAGCATACTAAGGCAAGGCTGAAATGATTTTATAGTACCAACTCTAACTAACGAGGTCACATGATCATGGGTTAATCTGGATCTTTGCGAATGTTTAATTAATTCTAGTAATGCAAAAAAGTTTCTTTTATTATTTCATGAATAGATCAGTAAAAAAACAAATGACAGATATTTTCGACACGACATTTCGCGCCACATTGCATGGCATAGGATTGCTTGAATTATTATTGATATTAATTTTTAGTAACTAATTCGTTGTATATTTATATTAATATACAAACACATGGTAATTTTCTGTTCGAAGTTGGTCTTCGAAATTGTCATATTGACTGCTGAGCTTATTGTGTTTTTTTATTGTACTGATGAAAATATGACAGATGGAACAATGTGCTTCAAAATTTTGTGAAATGCAGAAATATTGCAACTCCCATTTTCTTCGAAAATGCCACCTTCTTCATGTACTTTGCGTTTAATTTATTCACTCAAGTGTTTTATTCAAGTATTCTTTTGCTAGCTTGATGTGTATTCTTAATTGGGTCAAAATGTGAACAAAAAAATTAATTTTCCAAAACTACTTTCAGTAAATTGCTTTCTGTGTGAATATTCAATTTCACTTTAAAAGGGTTGAAAAATCTATTACACTTAGATAAAACAAAACTCCAAAATACAATTACGATTATTGTTAAGCGTTCGAGGGCCGCACTGGAAGTTCTCCAGGGCCGCGAGTTTGATATCCCTGGTCTAGATTGAAGTTGTCCTAAATATAAAACAGTATTTTATCATAAATCATGATTATACCCTTTCCTGAATTTCTTCTTTAGTAGGCCTACTACCAAAAGTTGATGAATCAAATATAACACAGGTGTAGTGAGTGACCCATAATCCTCATTTTCCAAAGCTGTTTTAAGTATGTCTGGCATGTTTTGTGCCTTTTTACGAATAAGACCGCTTATGCAATCTTACGCTTTGGAATTTTTAGTTATTTTCCTCAAGCCCTGCAGGATATAGGGGCCATACACAACTCTACCGAAGGGTCAAATGTCTTTGCATGTCTCCATAGGTTGTTCTTCTATTGCAAACATTTATGGAGTATTCTGATTGTATTTCTTGGAATCATACTGTCACTGATATGTCGCCAGTCTTCTGATATCTCCCCTTCTGCTACAGTTGTCCTGTGAATAAATAAGAGGAAATTGAGGTTGGACGAATAGTTGAAAGTTTTGCTTTATGTCGGCTTAATTTTTTGATTGATATACTTTCTATTTTTGCTATTGCCTCTTGTGCTGCAGGAGTCCCACAATGCTTAGACAGGTTTTCCCACAACTTTTACATCTAAAGAAAGAGAGGAGATTTAATAATTTTCGTTAAGAATAAATAAAGCAGTCTATATGATTTAGATTGGAAAAGCTAATAAATCCAATATCTCATGTTTTATGTAAAAAATGTTTTACTGAATTTGGTATATAAACCAACTATTAAAGGGGTTTAGTCAGAAAATTACTATACAATATAGACCGGTATGAGTGAAATGTTAGGTGAACTTGTTAACCCTTTGATTCAATACGCAAATAAAAGTGAATGAGCAATAGTATGTTACAGCAATGAGTATATATATCCTCACTGATCAAAAATAATCTAATTGGAGGTGCATGAACTATTTGAAACCGTAAGGGGTAAGTAAATATGCAATTTCGGCAAATGGGCAACTACGTACCGTACTGATTTAATAACTTCGTAGTATTTGACAAAAGCTGGCTTTCCCACATGTACTTAACAGTGCAATGCCCGGGTGTGATATACAACAATAGTATTTACCTTACTTTTTTCTGATTTCTTTTTACATTCAATTTTCCAATATATCATTAAAATCGACAACAACTGTCAAAGCAGGAACGAACACCATTAGTGCTATGCCTTGAAAGCAGCACACTTCCGCTCGTTTTCGTCTCGTTAAGTATGTGCATTGGAGCGTGCTATCGGATACGATCTTCGGCCAAAAATGCCTGAGTTGCGCATCATGTTGTTTAATGTCATTGGCTTGACATATCTTGTAAATGATGGCTCAGCCGTCATTTTATTTATTGCCCTTTGTCGCCTCATTGTGGTACTTTAGATTGTTGCGCAAGTTTGTCTCGTGGTTGCGCCATTTTCAGGATTTTGTTGAACAGGCTGACAGGGTTTGTGCTTCTCTGATTTGGTCTAATATATTATTCTTTTCCATACAGTTAAGATTGTTTAAATGTTAAATATTGAAGTACCTGCTTGTTTGTGATATTATTAGCCGAAAAAATCGGTAAGTCATATTTTATGTGAAGATATTTCTGTATTTAGGAATTCATTTGCTGAGTGTTCCTACTTGCTTAATATATGATTTTCATTCCAAATTCATATTAGTATAGAATAAGTAAAACACTGTGTGGACAAGTTATTGTCTGCTCTTTATTCATAAGTTATTCATGCCTTCTTTATCGTGTGATCAAGTACCGGTAGCCTATACTGTATTTTGCCAATGTCTCTGGTATTTTTTAGATCATCACTGTTGTGTTTTGCTTATAAGTTTTACTCTTATTTTAATTGCAGTTTACACACTTCTTCAATTCATTGAGACTTTATATTGGAACATTTCATCAGTCCACTGAGACACTATTTTGGAACGCTTCATAACATCTAAGTTATTTCATTTGGTAATTTTTGAACACGATTTGGAAGTAACATCAAAACATTGTGTTGGACAGTTTCTTGGGGTTTCCAGGTTTCAGTGAGTGCAGCAGTGAGTTAAACGACGGTTATACCTACACGGCGGAACATACGACTGCGAGTCTGCGACAAAAGGGTTAAATAGACTGTTAAATTCGTAGCATCTGTGAACAGCGGCCGTAATAGTAAACGATTTTGTCGATTGCTAACCCAAGTTAGTGAACGATTTGGCTTTACTGACCAAGTTAGTGAACAATTTTACACTATTGCAAACAAGTTGGTAAAAGATTTCAAGATCTACTTGGCAAGTCAGAATAGAACAATATCAGAATATTGATGATCAATAAACATGTTATTGTAATTTTGCGAAACTTCACCCATCAGGGAAATACAAGATATTTATACCAAGAAAAGGGAATATACATTATGAATAATGGCTACAGCAAGATCTACAAATGCAAGTGATGACGTTGGACTCTAATTCTGGTAATGATATGAGAGAAATCCCAGAAGGTGCTGAACGTAGCAGAACACTTACAGAAAAAGGACAAGAAATATCAAGTTAAAATGCTTCTGGAAAGGTGTAAGTCGAAATTTGAATTGTTTTCAAAATAAGAATGAAGCTCCTGAAAAGTAATTGATGATGGTGTCTCATTGCGTACTATAAAAGACGATTTGAAAACCTTCGAATTATGTTTTCATGGCTATCGTACAGCAACATAAGGAGTATGTAGCATTGTTAGTTGATGCAATGCTAATAATGAAGAAAATGATATTTTCATAAATGCTCAACATTTGTTTGAAGAATTTCGTGCTAAAGCGATTGAAGAAATTAGAAGCATCTGAGACTGATAAAGATGTCAGTTCTGTACCATACCAGTCTTTCAAAGAATATTCTCATAGATCTTATTCTTCATCATCGAGTTCATCTGTGGCGTTTAGGCTGGCTGAAATAGCTGCCAAGAAAGCCTCATTACAAAGCAGAAGCTAGTTTTTGCTGAAACTGAAGTAAAAATTGCACAGAGGAGGCAAAATTGAAATCAGAATTAGCACAAGCAGATGCAAAATGAAGTCAGAACTAGCACAAACAGAAGCAAAACTCAAAGCTGAAGCTGTAAGGCTACAAGCAAACGTACAACAAGCTGAAATACAATTACAAGCTGACAAGAGAAGACTGAATCTGCAAAAGGAAATTGCTAAGCAGAAGCAGAAGAGAATTTTTTGCTCAAATTGATTGTGAAAATGATAGCTTTAGTAGACGTGATGTGACACATTTTGGCACCGAACGAACCTTTTGTAGTAAGTCCGCATCAATTCCATACTGCTGAACAAACTGCTTTAACGAATGAAAATTTGGTACCGGGCACCTGAAAATACAGCATGTAACCATTTGTTACAAATCATATGAATGCAAATCCTGCTTATTCGAACACTGCTGAAAACGAAGTTCAAATCCATTGAATTTGTCTAACTGCACACAAACCATCGGCAGATGGCGCTAGTAGTTCAGAAATTGAAAGACTAGTTGAAACAGTTGTTGATATTCAACAAAGGGCTTCATTGCCAAAATGAAGAACCAGAAGTTTGATGGTGATTTATTGAGATTTCCCTATATGGCTTGGAGATTTGAAGATTTATTGAAAGAAATGTTCGAAACCCTAACAGGCGTCTTCGTATCTTTTGAAGTATCGACTGGAGATGCAAGAAAGGCTATTGAAAGGTTTCATGGGCATAGATTGATGAAAACGCATATAATGAAGCAAAGCGACACTAATGGAGTGGCTATGGCGACTTCGGCTCAATATCAAGAGCTTACAGCAAAGACTGAAGCAATGGCCTATCATACCTATGATGATGGCGGGAAAAGGAATGCGGTGAGTTTTGTCATTTCTTACTAGTTTAAGCTATTGGGTAAAAAATTCTACGTTACTGAAGGAAATTGGATGATGAAGACTTAATCCAAGTTCTTGTTTTGAAATTGCCAAAGTCGGCAAGAGATAGATTGGTCGTCAAATGCATGTGAATATCACAAAAACATGGAAAGCTTTCCACCATTTTTCTGAATTCTGTGATCAATGTTCAAGAAAATATCGAAAGTAACTACACTTCCTCTGTATGGAACTGGGAGTACTGATGAACTTGTGGCTAACAATAAGAAGCTGCAAATGTACCCGTTAGAAGAAGGATTATAAATAGAGGTTCTCACTCTACTCTATTGATGCAAGCGAAGAAGTTCACAGTTCTCGACAAACAGCTAAGTCGAAAACTACCCATTTCTCAGATTCGTGTGTGTGTTGTAAAGGATCACATGATCTGAATGATTGTACAGCTTTTCTCAAGAAATCTTACAATGACCGAATCGAATTTATCAAGTCAAATGGCATATGTTTTGCATGTCTAAGAAAAGGTCATCGTTCGAAAGGATGCACCAAAAGAAAGACTTGCAAAACTTGTGGTAAAGGTCACCCTACTGCCATACATTCAGAAGAATTCGTTCGCAAGGTCAAGACGAAGATAGATTCAAATGAAGAAAATAGTTTAACGAATGCTGATTGTAAGAAAAGTATAATCTGTCATGCATCAGAAGCTCGAGAAGTTATTCGAACTACAAGGATTGTACCAATACAAATACTTTGTGCTGATCGACCAAGCAAGAAATTAAAAGTTTATGCAATTTTAGATGAACAATCTGATACCACATTCATTTCGGATGATGTCAGACGAAGCTTGGAATCAAATGGATTTAAGGTGAGATTGAACCTTTCTACTATGACCAGTTCGACTGTGGTGGATTCATACAAGATTATGGGCTTGCAAATTTTAGGTTGTAATGGCCACAAGATAATTTGCCTCCATGTTACACAAGAGATTCCATCCCAGTAAATCGTAATCAAATTATAGACAAGAGGGTTCTGAACAAGTATACAAAGTTCCAAGATATTCTAGATGAAATCCCGGACTATGATCCTAATATTGATATTGGTATACTCATTGGCACTGATTGTATGCAAGCATTGCGTCCGTTGCAAATTATATCAGATGCCGACACAGAAAGTTATGCTATCAAAACAGCATTAGGATGGGGAGTTGTTGGAATGATTGATGCAGTATGTGTTGGTGGATATGCTACCAAAACTTGTAACAAAGTGATATCACATGACCTGTATGCACCTGACATCATTTCTCCTCAATTTGTACCTATAAATCAAGTTAAAGAAGTCATTAACCCTTGCATGATTTTGAGAAGTTTCGAACAAGATTTCATTGAATGCATGCACAAGAATAATATCAAAAAGCAAGAAATTGATGGTACATCGAACAAACCTATTTCTATCGAAGATCGTAGATTTTTGCAGAAGTGTCAATCAAGTATTCACAGGACACAGGATGGTCATTATGAGATGTCTCTCCCTTTTCGAAACAAAGAAGTGAAGCTTTCAAACAACAAGCAATTAGCTCTCAGATGCTTACAAGGAATTAAGAAGCGTTTTGAGAAAGATGAAAGGTTTAAAGAGCTTTATTGTGCATTCATGAAAGATGCAATTGAAAAGGGATATGCTGAGAGATTGTCCGATGGTGACAATGGTAATCATGGATATGTATGGTATATTCCACATCATGGAGTGTTTCATCCTTGTAAGCCAAACAAGATCAGAGTTGTATTTAATTGCAGTTCTGAATTTGAAGGTCAAAGTTTAAATGGGCATTTGCTACAAGGACCAGATCTTACCAACTCACTGATATCAGTACTTGCTCGATTTCGTGAAAAGGAAATTGCGTTCATGGCAGACATCGAATCAATGTTTTATCAAGTTCGAATTAACGAAGAAGACAGAGATTTTGTCAGATTTCTGTGGTGGGACAATGGAGATTGCACGAAAAAACCTAGTTGTTACAGGATGCGAGTCATGGTGTTTGGTTCTACGTCGAGTCCATCGTGCTGTAATTTTGTCCTCAAAAGACTGCAGATGACTATGAAAAGGAATTTGGTGAAGAAGCAGCTCAATTCTTGAGAAAGAATTTCTACGTTGATGATGGTTTAAAGTCAGTTGATAGTGTTGAAGAAGCAACATCGTTGATCAAAGCAAGTAAGAAAATGTGTGCTAAAGGTGGTTCAATTTGACAAAATTTGTGTCTAATAATAATGAAGTTTTACAAGCTGTTGATGAGAATGATCGCTCGACAAAGTTCAAGAATTTAGATCTTGGAAGTAACCCAATACCAGTTGAAAGAGCACTGGGTGTTCAATGGTGTATTGTGGATGACAGTTTCACTTTTCGTATTACTTTGAAAGATCGTCCTTTCACAAGGCGTGGAATTCTGTCAACAGTATGTTCAATCTATGATCCGTTCGGATTTATTGCTCCTGTTGTCTTAGAAGGAAAACGCATTCTTCAGGAGTTGTGTCGTGATAAGTGCAAATGGGATGAACCCGTTCCAGATAATTTGAAACCAAGATGGGAGCGATGGAGAAATGATCTTCATCATCTTGCCGAATTAAAAATTCGACGATGTTTCAAGCCAAGTAATTTTGGTGAAATCAAGGAAACTGAATTACATCACTTTAGTGATGCCTCGACTCGTGGATATGGCCAGTGCACCTATTTAAGACTGACCAATCAGAAAAATCAAATTCATTGTTCATTCGTGATGGGAAAGTCTAGAGTAGCACCATTGAAACCTATCACGATACCTCGATTGGAATTGACTGCGGCACTTGTATCTGTTCGGGTTGGAGTCATGTTGAGACAAGAATTGAATTTTGTCAACATCAAGGAAACATATTGGACAGACAGTAAAGTTGTTCTTGGTTATGTTTCAAATGATTCTCGTCGATTTCACATATATGTGGCAAACCGTGTTCAAGAGATTCGTGATCATAGTGAGCCAAATCAATGGTTTTATGTGGATACAAAGAACAACCCAGCTGATGATGCCTCAAGAGGTTTGTGTCCAAAAGATCTACTGACCAAACATGATCGATATCTAAAGGGACCTGATTTTCTGTGGAAACCACTTACAGTGGAAAAAGAGTTTTCACATGAATTCGAAGAGCTTGATGCTTCGGATCCAGAAATACGTAATTCTGTGACATTTTTGACTGAAGTAAAAGAGCAATCCTTCCCAAGTCTTTTGGAGAGATTGTCAATGTTTTCAAGTTTATACAAAGCTCAGACAGTTGCTTTCATTTTATGCTGATGGCTGAAATTTTTTTTAAATTGTAAAAACAAGAATTTGACTTAATCTTTTGGTTCAATAACTGCACAAGAGATGGAAGATGCTAAGAAATTAATTTTAAAACTTATGTAATGTTAAGTGTATCTGGATGAAATCGAAATATGAACAAACCTAAGAAATTTGATACTGTAAAGAAATTGTCATCATTATTCAAGCTTGATCCATGTATAGGATCTGATGGATTGTTGAGAATTGGGGAGGACTGAAAGATTCAAGTTTGCCCGGAGAATTGAAGCATCCTGTTATATTGCCCAAGTCTCATCATATTACAACTCTGATAACCAAGCATTATCATGAACTCGTGAAACATCAAGGACGTGGAATTACACTCAATGAAATAAGATCTGCTGGATTTTGGATAGTTTCTGGCATTGCTGCTGTCTCAAGTTTCATACATCACTGCACAAAATGTAGGAGACTTAGAGGAACATTTCAAGAACAGAAAATGGCTGATTTACCAAAAGACAGAATGGATGATAGTCCATGTTTTTCATTTTGTGCTACAGATTTATTTGGCCCCTTCATTATCAAAGAAAGGAGAAAAGAACTCAAGAGATATGGAGTTTTATTTACATGTATGGCATCGCGTGCTGTTCGTGTTGAAATCGCCCCAAGTTTAGAAACCGACAGCTTTATAAATGCTCTAAGAAGATTTATTTGCAGAAATGGGCCAATCAGACAACTGAGATGTGACCGTGGAACCAACATGGTTGGAGCATCAAGAGAATTAAAAGAGGGTCTACAGGCAATGAATCATTCAAAAATTCAAGAAGTTTTACTTCGAGAAAATTGTGATTATTTCCCATTCAAGTTCAATGTCAGCGCTGCAAGTTATCAGGGAGGTGTTTGGGAACGTCAAATTCGTAGTATTAGAGCAGTTCTTTCATCCATCCTGGAAAAGAATGGAAGGCAACTAGATGAGGATTCTCTTCGCACTCTGATGGCAGAGGCTGAAGCAGTTGTCAATGGACGTCCTCTAGTTGTGGATAATTTGTCATGTCCTGATTCACCACTGCCTCTGACGCCTAATCATTTGTTGACTGCGAAGACAAGACTTGTATTACCACCACCAGGTGTATTTGGAAGGGAAGATTTGTACTCGCGTAAAAGATGGAGGAGAGTACAGCATTTAGCCAATGAATTTTGGATTCGATTTCGTAAAGAATATTTACAATCACTCCAAGTTCGTCAAAAGTGGAACAAAGTTCAACGTGACCTCAAAATTGGTGATATTGTCATAGTCGTTGACGAAAATACACCAAGAAATCAGTGGAAGATGGCAAGAATTGTTGATGTCTATCCCGATGCAGATGGTCATGTTCGAAGAGTTCGAGTTCACATAGGAGATTCAACACTCGATGAGAGAGGAAAGCGTATAAAGGATGTTCTCTTTCTTGATCGTCCAATCCAAAAGTTGATTCTTTTCTTGGAGAGTGGAGATACGGGAGAAGATTCCCGACGAGGGAGCCAGAAATAGACATTGTGAAATTGTAATTTTATTTTAGTATAGAAATAGCATTTCTAGGGGAGCCATGTAAATGATGGCTCAGCCGTCATTTTATTTATTGCCCTTTGTCGCCTCATTGTGGTACTTTAGATTGTTGCGCAAGTTTGTCTCGTGGTTGCGCCATTTTCAGGATTTTGTTGAACAGGCTGACAGGGTTTGTGCTTCTCTGATTTGGTCTAATATATTATTCTTTTCCATACAGTTAAGATTGTTTAAATGTTAAATATTGAAGTACCTGCTTGTTTGTGATATTATTAGCCGAAAAAATCGGTAAGTCATATTTTATGTGAAGATATTTCTGTATTTAGGAATTCATTTGCTGAGTGTTCCTACTTGCTTAATATATGATTTTCATTCCAAATTCATATTAGTATAGAATAAGTAAAAACTGTGTGGACAAGTTATTGTCTGCTTTATTCATAAGTTATTCATGCCTTCTTTATCGTGTGATCAAGTACCGGTAGCCTATACTGTATTTTGCCAATGTCTCTGGTATTTTTTAGATCATCACTGTTGTGTTTTGCTTATAAGTTTTACTCTTATTTTAATTGCAGTTTACACACTTCTTCAATTCATTGAGACTTTATATTGGAACATTTCATCAGTCCACTGAGACACTATTTTGGAACGCTTCATAACATCTAAGTTATTTCATTTGGTCATTTTTGAACACGATTTGGAAGTAACATCAAAACATTGTGTTGGACAGTTTCTTGGGGTTTCCAGGTTTCAGTGAGTGCAGCAGTGAGTTAAACGACGGTTATACCTACACGGCGGAACATACGACTGCGAGTCTGCGACAAAAGGGTTAAATAGACTGTTAGATTCGTAGCATCGTGAACAGCGGCCGTAATATATCTTGTTGTCTGTATTTGGCATCAGTCCAAGTTTTCGACCGAGATACTTGTATATCGCCCAACTTTGTGTTATTTTAACATTTCCATCAATAATATAAGGTAGATTTGGAAATCAAACCTTCTGATGTCATGCTTTGTTTGTCAGCAATCCACTCAGCACACTTTGCACCGGAGAAGGTGATCGGTATGTTATTTCTTCATAGTCAATGTTACCGTACACTAAAGCATTCTTATAGGGGCACTGAAC